TAATCTTTTTTTTTTTGTATTTTCAAAAGCTAAAAGGTTTTTTTCTCTTTTTTTCAGTTTCAAAAGGTAAAAAAACTTTTTTATATGGTTTTTCGAATCTGTAAATAATATATATATATATATATATATATATATATATATATTATATATATATATGCTTGCTTGAATGCTTGTGTATTGCTTTGAAACAAAGTTACAGTAGTGTTTTTTTCTTGACTGCCAAGAGAGATTACAAATTTTGCTTGGCGTTTTATACCTATTACAAGAAAAATTGAAATGATAAATATCTTGTTTTTTCCTTGTTGTCTCTGATGTAGTGGAGTGTTGGTGATGGCTTGATGGTGGAGTGGAGCAACAGTTCTTCTTGTATTGGGGGCGGCCAACAACATAAGCTGAATGGGGGATTAGGCGGCTACCTGGTATTGGGTAGGGAAATGGTGGCCACGGGTTGGGGGAATTGGGCGGCTGCTAAGGTTGTTTAGATTCGGGTCGGGTTTGGGCCCCGGGTCGAGTTTTGGGTTAGGTTCTGAGTAGTTGGGCTTAAGGCCCGTTGGTTGGATTGGTTGAAATGGAAAAATGTGCTTACAATAAATTATAAACGAAATTGATCAAATTAAATTTAGTTTAATTTTCTTTTGAGCTTAAATAATAACATTCAATCAAAAATTGAACTGAGTTTTGAGCAATGAGTTCCAATTGCTACCCTAAAAGAAACCGTTGAACTGTTTAATATCGGAAGCTAAAGTAATAATAAATAGACAATTGGGCCACAATAAGATCAACTCACCCGTTTAGGATCTTATAAGCAAAACCAAATTGGACCATTCAGTATGATTTATCCATCAGTACGAGACCCGACCCGGCTTACGTTATTGTTTCCCTTTTAGGCAGGTGCATTTTTGGAGTTGACAAACGGAAATTTAGATCAAGCGCCAAGAATCTAAGACTAAGAGAGAAGAAGAGATGAAGATCTTTTGTTGGGTCTGTTTAGTGTTTGTAATTGTTAGTGTCGGTGCTTTTTCTGAAGAACTCCAGCTAAGCTCTCCTCTTGTTGTTTTCCAGGTTCTTTCTTTTTTTCCTTGTCACTTCATTTTCCCCTATATGTATCTTAACCCCACCAATTCCAATATTTTCTTTCCCTTTTCGTTTGTATGAATTGGGTCAATTTTTTTTCATCACTTGTGTTTTATATACTGTGAATTATGTAATAAGTGGGATTTTCTTGTTGTTGATGACAGTAGTTGAAATGTATCTAATTTGTGAGTTGGTTTGATGCTTTTTTGAAGAATTATTCGTTGTAATGCCGACAAATTATGGAGATATTGAATTTGGATTTTACTCAAGTGTTGCACCCAAAACTGTTGATCACATTTTTAAGCTTGTGCGTCTTGGTTGCTAAAACACCAATCACTTCTTCAGAGTAAGTGTTAAAACTTGAAAAGAAAAAAAAGAAGAATGGATTTCGGAATTTGGTTGCTTAGTCGGTTAATTAATTAATGTGATTTTAAGATGTGGGTGAGGATAATATTATTACTTTTAAATTCTTGTAGGTTGATAAGGGCTTTGTAGCCCAAGTGGCAGATGTTGCAGGCGGACGATCAGCTCCCATGAATGAGGAGCAAAGAAGGGAAGCTGAAAAGACGATTGTTGGGGAATTTAGTGATGTAAAACATGTGAGAGGTATTCTTTCTATGGGGAGGTAAAAAGACCTTACTAGTTTCAATGTTCATGTTTAATTTAATTTTATATGTTTTTCTATGTATTTATATGTCATCGAGTTCTGCTTTGGTGTAGATATTCTGATCCAGACAGTGCACAATCCTCATTTTCAATACTTCTTGGAGATGCCCCTCATCTTGATGGGCAGGTATTCCAGTCACACTTGCTGAGCATCATTGCAATGATTATTATGATGATTATTTCTGAATCTTATATGACATATAGCGTACATATTACATATTATTTCTGTCTATCTTTTCAGTATGCAATATTTGGTAAGGTTACGAAAGGAGATGATACTTTGAGAAAGCTTGAGGAACTTCCTACCCGAAGAGAGGGGATCTGTGTAATGGTATAAATATGATAGACTTTCTGTTTTCCTTTGTAATGCAATAGAAAATTCAGGATGTCTTTCCAGGGTTGATCCATCAGTTTCCGTGATGGTTAGGTATCCTTGTTTCACCTTTATGGCACCGTTCCGTTCATTCTCGTAAAGCGGGAATTTGCCTCTTTTTATTTTATTTTCAAATAATCCATAAAAGGGGGAAAATAAAAAGATAAAGTAAGAGGGGAGACACTAACATGAGCAAAGTACTGTTCAAATCAGGAACTGGCAGTTACATACGTATATGACTCTCACATTGATGTATAGAGCTCAATTTAGCTAGTTTAGTGATCAGTTATAATCTTCTTATTCAGCACTCATACACAAAAATCTGTTCTGTCATTGTTTATTCCTTTGTAAATGTAACCGTAAATTATATCTTAAAAGTTTACCTTTGTTATAATCCTCTATCCAATTAGTCTGATAGGAATTTAGAATGCAAGAAATGCTTATTTCAATTTGTGGCTGATTTTAATCCATGTTCTCTGGTGTGAAATATAATTTACTTTTGTTTATCTTTTCCAGCCTATGGAGCGCATCACAATTCATTCATCCTACTATTACGGTGAGAATTAAGTAGCCTCTTGTGGCATTTTGTGGCTGATTAGTTTATGGTACATTCATGCTTTTACTCATTGCTGCAAGATTTCCATGCAATAATTCCTTACAGTAACATAAACTAATCCATGGAAAAAAAATTATTAACTACTGCATTTGGAAAATATGAGAACTTTAGTTTTACATGATATTGTCAAGCTAGTGATATATTCTATTGACAAATTTTGATCACCATATTGCATTAAAAAGTTTGAGCACTTTAGCTTTCCAGGATATTGTCAAACAGGTGATATGGTACAGTTATCTGGTTGTTTTTAAAAAATGTGCAATTTGTAAATCTGTTCTGCAGCATTGACAAGATATTAGGCTCACTAATCTACAAAAAAATCACTAAGCTCAGTCTGTTATTACACCAAAATCACTATGCTCGGTTCATTATTTTCCCATTTTATACTTTGACTAGGTATGAAATCTATTATTACACCATCCAGTTGTTACCTGCGCTTGGAAGGAACCAAACATCTGCTGTTTACAAAATAATATTGTAGCATAAGATAAACCATTATGAGATCTTCTACCAATCCACTATCTTTCTCCCATTGATCCCTTTATTAGCTAAAGAAAACACAATTACATGCTTCTGGGAAAAACAATATTTGGATGCTAATTTTTGAGATTGGTTCTAGAGAAACGGACAAAGTTGTGGGCCTTCTTGAAATAGCTAAAGAACATAGTTCTTGGACTTTTTTTGTTAATGAAAAAAGATAAATTCTTAAGAGATCAACATGGTTCCATTTGAGAGTTAAAGCTAAAGTGAATATTGAAAAGGCTTGTAGTGTAATCGAGTTTTCTATTTTGAGCAATCTTGAACTTCCTTGGACATTTAGACAAAAGGAAAAAACTTCTTTGGATGATGGCTAGTTTTGTGACTGGTATAATTGGATGACCTACATAATGAGTTTTACACCTCAGCCATATAGAATTTAAATGCACATACAAAATAGTTTACTTTTCACCTGCTTACGAAGTACTTAGTTCAAAGATTTAGAGATAGGCATGATGCATTTTTATATTACACTAGTTTAAATAGTAGTAATCTTTGGGATCCAAGGGTCTATGGCTAGAAGATTCATTATTATTAAATATTAATGTTTACCTACACCTAGAAGAATCATAACACCAGGAAATTTCTTAACCTACACCTAGAAGAATTGGTGTTTATTTCGCTAAATTCAAACCTCGACAGTCCTTTTGGAGAAAGTCCTCGACAGGTGTTCTTCGCAAGTCCGGGATGGAAGATGTTTCGAGGAAGAATCATTATAAAGTTGAAGGTGTTATAGATGAGGAAAAACTTCATGTGTTGAGCAATTGTCTAGTGGGGTGGTGCAAGGACTTTGTCAAAATTGGTCATCTCGCCAGAAAAATATAAGCGAAGGGCCTCATTGGCTTCACCTTAATGAGAGCTGCTGATAATGCGATTTTAATGATTTTCGAAGACAATGTTTCATTGAGAAGCGTGAAGAACGATAAATCAAAGATTCTCGCAGAGTGGTTCTCCATAGTCGAAGCTTGGTCAGAGAGTTTGGTAATGGAGTGTCGTCGAGTATGGTTAGTTTGCGAGGGTGTTCCTTTTCACGCATGGAATTGGGATACTTTCAAGAACATTGTTGATAAGTGGGTTTTATTACTAGCTATCGACGAAAGTTGTCAGTCTCCATCATCCTTTGATCGGGCAAAAATTCAAGTCCTCACAAAGGCTGATGCGAGAATTGATGCGATGGTGGAATTGAAGGTTGCTGACAACTTCTTCAAGGTCATAGTGCATGAGATAGAACCTTCATTCAAACCAAACTCTTGGGCTCCTGAAGAAGACTAGTCTCATTAGATCTAATCTCTTCAATTGTGGTTGTTTTAGTCTATATGGTTGTAGGTGTTGCTTTTAATTTGTATTATGTTCTGTTTTTTCCTACTGCTGGTGGTAATTAGAAGTAAGGTGATTGACTGTGGCTTTGGATGAGGTCATATGAGGTTAAGGTGTTTGTTGTAATGGTTATCACCATGAGAGGATATTCCGTGGTATCTTTTGTATCGGGTATTTATCAATAATATTGAGGTACTCTTTTCTTCCTTCCAATGTTCGTTAACATACCTTTAGTATGTGAACAAATACGAAGGGAGTTTTTAATGAGACCTCCAACTTCTATCAAAATAAAGAAGAATCATAACACCAGGAAATTTCTTAACCTAGTTATTCTTTGTATCTAACATGTGAAACTTTCATTTTCAACCTAGAGTATGTGGATTCTGGAAGTAAAATGTATTACCTGGAATCAACAATTCATATGCATGCATGACTTGAGTTCTTGAATGCAAAAATTTATGAGTCTCACATGATAACTAGGGTTCCAAAACCAGGTTAAAATTCTTGTAAAAAAGGCCTCTCAATGCATGAGGCTCTCGCGTTGTTGGATTTGGAATTTCCAGTTCTTGGAGGTTGGCTCACAACCTGAGCCTGTCACTTCTAGGATCACAATCCTGTAACCTCACTTATGCACCAAGGTTTACTCTCCTGGTTAGACTTTTCGGTTTGTGTAACAATCTTGTAACCTTACTTTTGTAGCAAAGGGTCACTCTTTGGACCTCGTGGCTTGTGTAACAAGATCTGAAGGTTAAATAGTATCTTTCTTAGCTAGGCTTCATTGACCATCCTCATTTTGGTCCATTCTTCCCATGGTGTAATCAAAGGTTGGAAGGAACTCTCTCCAGAAAGTTGGATAGAGTGCTAGCCAACCCCATTGGTATGAGGCATTCCCAACCTCCAAAGTCTCTTTTCTAACTCGTGGTATGTTGGATTATTGTTCGAGTTTACTCAAGTCTGAAGAGTTCTCTCCTCCCAAGCCATGGTTGATCAAGTCTGAAGAGTTTACTCAAGTCAGAAAGTTTGAAGTTGGTCGCAGAAGCTTGGACATCGCCTATAAGAGAACCCCCAACGAGTAGGTTTCTATTTATGAAATAAGGCTGGTCCTTAGTTAAAGGGTCGATGAAATAATAAAATCCTAAAATTTCTATTAAAATATCTTAAAGAGATATGGGCCTTTCTCTAGCGAGTCATAATGTTTTAGTCTCCCTTTGATGAGTTGAATTATGTATTACAATAAATCATAACATAGAGTGACCTGGGAAGTTATTTTCCATTCAAAAGGCTGGGGGATGCCTAGAACTGAGGAATTTTCAGCTTTGGGATAAGATTTGTTTATTAGGAATATATAACTTGTCTCCCTAGCAGGCTTTCTATGGGTAATATGGGTAGAGAAGTCTATTTTAAAAGGAAGAAACATCCTCCAAGCGAGGATGCAGTTTGTTCTTAAGGGTATTTAGAAATTGGAAGTGTTCCTTCCCCATACCTATACAGGGGACAAGACTACAAGGGTGCTGGAATGGAACCCACTAGAATTCAGCAGCAATGCGGAACACTTAGCAGCACAAGTAGAAGAAAGGAATTTGGCATAAAAGGTAGGAAAGTTTGTAATTTCTCAAGGAAGTGACAAGAAACGAGAGAAAATATTAAAGAAGCAAAGCTATTGATGAATCTGATTGCTTTACTCTATTCCCCACTGTACATAATTGGGTATATATATATCAAGCAACTTCAGCTGTAAAGTGTAATCAGCTAAGTGCTATTAACAGCATAACCAATTTACAACAAGCTGACTAATTACAATTGCACGTATTAAATGGTATAATGCTCAGCTGTCAGTTTTAATGATTAACATAAACTGATATGGAGTTGGTTTAATGTTCCACAAGACTCCTTTTTTTTTTCTTGGCTTGCACTTTTAGACAGATTGCCTACTAGAAGCAAACATCAAGGCTAGGGTCTCTCTACTCCTATTGAGTGTCTACTTTGTGGATCTAGCATTAAGAAAAGGGACTATATGTTTCCCTCGAGTGTTCCATTTTTAGCCAGCATTTGCATATGATATTTCAAGCTTGTGAGAAAGGCCATAATCTCCAAATCTGGAAGGTTGAATTAGCATGGCTGATTGAGAATATTACGAGCAAATCCCTGATGTTAATTATCCTCAAATTGGATTGGAAATCCTATGATATTTTGTTTAGCAAGAAAGGAATTCTCGATTACATGGGAAGCAGGGCAGGCAGGTTACTGATTTGTTTAGGCTGACTAAAACTACAATACTTGATAGACTCTTTACTCAGAGTAAACTCCGACTAGTTCCTAATCAGATCAATAAAGCTTTACTTATAAAAACAATAGAGAAGATTAGAATACAACTTGCCAATGGAGAATGATGCTACAAGTTAATGAGGCCTGGTCATAGTGTTATTTCTGCTCAAGTTTGACATGGAAATGAGAATATCATTGATTAGGAAATTCTTTGGTTACTCATTTTTAATGTTGCTGTTATTGTAATTGATTTTAGATACCGAGTTGGAGATCTGCGAAAAGGAAAGGGGTATCTTGAAGAGAAGGCTTGCTGCATCTGCTGTTGAAATTGAACGACAGGTAAGGTGTTTAGGAGTATTCATTGCTGTGTTATTAAAACCAGCACCATTTGATTTTCTGTCGGTAAGGTTTGACTAATATTGTGCCGGTGTAGCGAATGAAATGCTTCCCTTGAACGTCTAAACAACGGCTGGATCGGAAAAGGAAATGGCTAAGACCTTGCTATTGTAAAAAGTCAGAGACAGCATTACAGATACCAATTCTGGTAGAAATTTGTTGACCAGAAAGGTGTTCTATACTTTGTACCTAGCCCGTTTGAAAAGAATGAAAGAAAAATGTATCTTGACCTGAATTCCTATGGTTTTGATTTTAATTGATCTTGTGCTGAGGGCATGGCTTTGTGAGAAATAATAATTGTTGTTGACCTACTGAAGTTGTGTCACCATCAATAATACTATTATGAGGGATTATGTAGGTTCCTGGAAATCGAAACCCTAATCTTCATTTGTTTCTTCAATAAACTCTGCATATTTTTCTTACATGAATATGGTTTTGTGCGTCTCCTCTATTGTTTTAAAACAGTCGGGTATTTATGTTATAACAAAAATTGAGATATTTTAAAAGAATAAAATTTCATGATTTTAGAGACATCATAATAATTCTGTTTACAAGTCATTATATACGAGTTGACGAGTCGAATTTATGTGAACAAAAACTAGTTTAATATTCAGGGTAAAGTGTACAAATAATCTATTGATTATAGAGTGTTATTTTGTTGAGTCTTCTGATTATTAAAAATTATAAAATGGTCTTTTGACTATAAGGTGTTGCTTTGTTGAGTCATCAACTACTAAGAGTTATAAAATAGGCATTCGCCTATTTATATATTTCAAACTCATCATTTTCTGTTAAAAAATTAATGACAGTATGAGTTGTACGTTAACCTGCTAAAAGAGATATGCTAAAATATAATCTCGGAATCTCACACAATTATCATATATCAGTCAACATGTTAACATCTAGCTTAGACAACTGCCATTTTTTTTACAATAAAAGATAAGTTTGGAACATATAAATAGTTGGGTGACTATTTTGTAATTTTTAATAGTCGATAGACTCAACAAAACAACATCATATAATTAGAAGATCATTTTATAACTTTTAATAGTTGGGAGAATCAACAAAACAACGTCCTATAGTCGGGAGACCATCTATGTGCTTTTACCCCTGATATTTATATAATGTTTTTATTTTATTGAATATTTTTAGAACTTAGTAATAATAAACAGTTTAATATTTTTAAATTTAACTAGGATAAAAATGTTTTAATCACTAAAAGTTATTTTTAGTTTATTTTAAAAAATTTAAAATCTTTTGAACTGTTTTTAATTATTTTAAAATCACTTACCTTGATTTTTGTACTCTTGCTATTTTTAATCACTACTACTATAAATATCAACTCTCGTTTTGATTCTAAACATATTAAAATTGAGATCGGTTCTCTCACTTGTTCTCTTTCACTCTTTTGTGTTTGTTGAGTATTCGTATCGAAAATTATTGTTGATTCTGAACTCCATTTTTATAACAAAGGAGTTTCTGCTATCCACACTATCGATACACATGGCCGTTCTTGCCATTATTGTCGAGATGCTGTTCGTGCACTAACACAATTGATATCCATGTAATTATAATATTTGAATTACTGCTAAAACAAGTTTTACCATTACATAATGTCGAAACAAGTATGCATTGTATCAAATAACTTTGTTTCACTATTAATTTTTGCTTGTAGTAATAATAAGAAATGAGTTGTTTTAAAGTGAGATAAAATATTAGTCTATTAACATTGTTTGTCTTATGCGGTTGGAGTAATATCAAAATGATTATAGCTCAATTTATGTCAATCTCATGAAATAGGTTTATATGAGTAATAACACGTCTTTAGTTAATTTGTTGAGCACTGTAACATTTTGTCCCCACCGCGTTAAGTTTGTAAAGATGATAAGGTTAAGTAAAATTCTTATTCAAGTTCATAACCTTCATAGATGGTATATTGACATGTAGAATATAATTGATGACTTGACCTAAATTACTGTAAAGTGAGGATTTTTTTATGAGATTCATGACCTAAATTTGTAAGGATGGTAAGGTTAAGTGAAAATCTTCTCTTCTGTTATTGTGAGGTTGTGTAGAGAATTTGGTAAAGATGGTGTTTACATTGGAATACCAATATCGTCCTCCCAGATAATGTGAAAGATTTACTCTTTATATGATTAAATCGCTTTCAAACCAATATGGAAGATGATGTTCTTCGGTATAATTATCGACGTGTAATTTACCCAAACCATAACCAGATAAATATGTGGGTGGATCTACTACAATATGGGGGATGTATGATTGAGTTTGGGTATATAATTTTGAGACTCACTTTCACTCAATTAACCGTTTATGTCTTCTCCCTGCCACTTTTCAATTAATTAACTGAAAAAAAAACACTACATGTGCTGTCTCCTCCTGTTTTGAGAGATCAAACTCAACTTTTCCCTTGTTTGACAAATTTGGATTCCCTTGTCCCCATTGATGTATCCTTAGAATATACATTACCCCATTTCTTCATCCTTCATCACATTTCTTAGAAGCAAAAAATACTGTGAAATCCAAAATGAAAAACAAGTTAAGCTAATTTACTAACTTATCATGAATATGTTTCAGCTAAGAAGCATGGGACGGCAAAGGAGGCCCATTTCAAGTACTTGATACGTTTCTGGTACGGGGACGGTTCGGGGGTTGGGGTACGTATCGGGGACGTGCCATAGTGGCAGGGTACGACTGACCAAATTGGGGGATGATCAAAGCTTATCCGGAGATGTTTCGGGGACATCCCCAAGGGTAATTTTGACTGCAACACGACCCATGACGACGACGGATGAGAGCCAATTGACGGCGAGGGTTGGGGTCGCAACATGGAAGCTTTTGGACGATGACTGGTGACCTACTTACCTTAGATCAGTAAGAACGGCGACGGAGTGACGATTGTGGTCGAGCGTTCGTGAAACAACAAAGGAAGAAGGGAAAACGAAGGAAGAAGAAGGAAAAGAAATAGGGGAGGCGCGTCTGAATGTTAGAATAAAGGTAGAGATTTGTGATTATAATAAAAATGGAATAATCTCATAGATAGTCCTCAAATATTATATGTTTACTGAAAATGTTACATAATTTACAATAATTACAATTTGGTCAGAAAAATAATTTAGGAATTTTACTGTTTTAAACTTAATATTGTGGTTTGAATCTTGATATTTGACTTTATTTATGATTTTTTATATATATTTATAATTTTAAAATTATTTTATATGTTGTACCCTTGATGTTCCCGTACCCTATAATTTTAAAAATTGTCGTTTCCCGTCCCCGTATCCGTATCAGTGCAAGATAGGGTTTTAGATTGCTGTCTCATCTTGAAAAGAACGACAGAGGAAACTGAACCACATGGTTCTAATTTCCAATAATATATATATATTGCACATTTTTAAAGTAGAAAGGTTGTTGCAGTCTTAGGATGCATAAGTTGAAGCCCTTGAAGATTGATGTCTGAATTGAACATCCTCGCATGGTTAAATTGTAAAGAGGAAATGGCTAGAGGTTTGGTTTTCACATATGAATATGGACCACATCCATGGCGATTTGGGTCAGTTTCAAGGGGGTTGACTGTTATCAGACAACAAAGCTAACAGTCACATGAATAATATAGACTATGGAGCAAAACATTCACATTTTAATGTCTGGTTATGGTGTCCACATCTTTTACTTTTTTTTGGGGGGAGTTTTTTTTGGGGGGAGTACAGGTGTAAATGAACTGGCCTTGATCGAATAATGTTATGTTCTTTTGTTAATTTTTAAAAGTGTTCATGTTTATGTTTTGTTAGTCTTCGTCTTCATTTTCGTGTTCATTTATTTATTTTTGAAGGTGTTTGTGTTCAGTTTATTTAGCATTCGTAAATATGTTCATTTAACGTTCATGAACATGTTCATTTATATACTCATCAACGTGTTCATTTAATGTTTGCAAGCATGTCTGTTGCACACTCTTTTCTTACTCTTTTATTTGCCATTCGAAGAAAAATGATGAAACTATGCCACTAGTCTTTAAGATCTTTAGAATTCACAGTTTGAACTCCAATGTTCACATTGTATTCAATTTAGTCCTTATCTTCACCAATATTTAAAATGTAAAAAAAATTAAAAGAAAAAAAGAGAACCGGGTAAACGAACTTGTTCGTGAACATAAACGAACCAAACACACATTTGTTCATGTTATTTCATTTATTAAATGAACATAAAAATTTTGTTCATACTCATTTATTTAACTTAACAATGAAGATATATGAACATTATAAGAACAATTCATAAAGAGTTCATCTAATACTATGTTTATTTGTACCCTTAGAGAAAGATACATTGTTAAAAAGATTTAAATTAAATTCATTAAACTTATATAAAAATGTATATTTAATTCATAATCTTGGTATTTTATGCTTAGGTTATTGTCGTAACCGTCTTTCGGTTGGGTCACGGAATTGGGCTTCGACTTAGGAAAATGTGGATTGGAGTCGCCACCGATCATTTATTTAAAAATAAATGGGTTGATCGGATACCCTATTTCTTACCTGATCTGCGTCTTACCAGAGATGTGTCGGATTCGGGAGTCGGTTACAGTCAAGGAAGGGCTAGCACCCTTGAACTGCCCTTTCGGTACTGTGTAATTTCCAGTTGTCTTTAATTAAAAATTGAAAGTTAAATTAAAAGTAAAATATTGA